AAAGAGTCTTGATATTTGGTCCGAACCAGCACATCCATGGAGACATTCGGAAATGAAATGTTTGCGTTATTTAATGAATCATAGACCAAATGCCTTCGTGGACATTTGGACAGAAACAAACGTCGACTACTCATTATTTTTTCTCTCTTCACTTGAACATATTCTGTAGCTTTTATGTAAAGAATGTGCTGTTTGATAATATGATGAAAAAAGCGTTGTGAGTGTGTGTGTGCATGCTGGGAGATGTCATTCCTGGTGAGTCTTTTTAGGTACCATGTGTGGGTGCCCCGGGACTTCTAACTCTTTAAGTGAAATTGAAGGGTTGCTTTGCAGTGTGTGTCACTGTAAGTGTGCCATTATTCTGCTTCGCCATACCTACAATTGCCAGTGTTCCTAGGTAGCTCATAACGTTTTCTCTAAGTGTCAGTGTTGTTGACAGATGAAAGGAGAAGAGAGAATAGATGCCTGAGTGGAATCTATGTGACCTGAGAGTTCCAGACATTCTGAAGAATCTCACTGTCCCCCTTCAAAAGCACAGTTTCTTCTCCGTCTCTATTAGGCATTTCTCACAAAGACACTTGGTGAGAAAACATTTCTCATAGAAATATTTCCAAAAGTATGCTACTGCATGCGTATCCTTGACTAAATGCTCATCATACGAATAAACACTTTTATGGTGTTTCCTACATGTCTAACTGTGAATCCTCAGCACTATTGAATCCCCATTGTGCTGACATGACCCTGAGGCTAGCAGCTGGTCCATAATCTGCCCCAGTCACACAGCTGGGAAGAGGACAGGCCGGGATTCAAATCTAGTCAGCAAGGCTCTAGAGCAGTGATGGCGAACCTATGACACGCGTGTCAGAGGTGACACGCGAACTCATTTTTTTGGTTGATTTTTCTTTGTTAAGTGACATTTAAATATATAAAATAAATATCAAGAATATAAGTCTTTGATTTACTGTGGTTGCAAATATCAAAAAATTGCTATGTGACACGGCACCAGAGTTAAGTTAGCGTTTTTCAAAATGCTGACACACCGAGCTCAAAAGGTTCGCCATCACTGCTCTAGGAGGTGAGCTGGGAGGGAGGTGTGTGGGCCCCAGGTTTACTCAGGGGGAGGGCGTGAAGGGAGGAGCCCTCCTTGCCTGGGCACCAGTGAGGCCCTCTCCCTGGAGAGCAGGCACAGGGGCGGGGCGGGGAGGGGGGCTGGAAGCTGTTTCTCTGTGGGTGATTCTTCACTGAGACCGCACTGCCTCACCTCCGCAACCACGGCCCTGCTCTCCATGCCAGGAGTGCCCTTGTCATGTGGATGATTGTGGAGGCCCTACCACATGCCCAGAGCACCCCCTGGGCGGTGGCAGCACCTCCCGAGCTGGGAGGGGAGGGGATGGGATGGGGCCTTCAGTTATGCTGATCCTCTGCCTACAATGCTCTTGCCACCTGTGGAGACTCCACTTGGCGTTTCCTACAGGAGGCCCTCCGGGAAGCCTTGGACGATTCACGCCAGTTCCCGGGTCAGCATTTCTGTTTGGAGAGGATGAGGGGCGCTGCGGGGCATGGCTTCATGCACGCATCATTTCACCCACTCGCGCATTCCATCACAATTCAGCCTGCTCACAGGGACCTGTGCAGGGGTGGGCAGAGGCGGCGCCTGCTGAGCCCAACAGGTGATGTTCTGTGTTCCCAGAGCTGTGGCCACTGGGAGACAGAAACGCACTGGTAGCAAAGGAGTGAGAGGTTTAGAAGAGACCTCTCAGGGAGCCCAGAGATGTGTGTGTGTGTGTGTGTGTCTGTGTCCATGTAGGAGGGATGTGTGGAAGGGGTGTGTGGGTGTGGGGAGTGCTCACACAGGGGGCTCCTGGGTCCATCTTCCCCCCCTTCTGCCAGCCACCCCTGGACCTCACCCCGAGCAGGTTCCAGCTGCCCACATGGGATCAGCCCGGGTGGACCAGGGCAGAGGCAGGACCCCCTCCCTCCCAGGTCTCCCCACCAGCCCAGGGTTGCCGGAAGCCGGTCCATCCTTGCTGCTTGACACAGTCGCTGCAGGAAAGAAACATCTGCACAGCATATGTTTCAAGGGACCTGGCGTATATGGCATACTGTTCTTAATATGTTTGCTCCCCTTAGCGCTGTGTGTTTTAACCAAGGTCACCTCTCTGAGAAAGGTTGTTTCCCCAGGTAGGGATTTTTCCCTGAAGTTAGGGAGGGAATAAAACCCCCTAACTAAGTGCCAGGCGGGTAGTTACTCACTGTAACT